AAAGTCTCGGTCGTCTCAGCTTACTTGGTACGTCCTTCCTGTCCCTCCCCCTGCCCCTGCCATGATTGATCCAACGCTATTTGACAGCTTCTATGCAGCGCTTCCTGGTACCGGACCACTGCTCCGAAACGAACTAGATTCCTCCATGCTTTCACTTGGCTGCATCGAGGCGGGCCAGGGCGAGCGCGAGGTTCGCGGCCACCGTCGACTTGCCGACGCCGCCCTTGGCCGAGGACACGGCTATGACCTTGGCCACATTGCGGATCGGGCGGCGCTCGGGGCGTTTGGGCCAGTGAGGCGGCGTGCCGCTGCGGGGGAGGCCCTGGGGGAGGCCCTGGGGGAGGGGGGTTGTCAGCTGTGGTGGAGGGGCAGGCGAGTGGAGGGGCAGGCGAGTGCAGGGTCTCACCAAGGGGTTTTCATGGCCGAGGAGGCGGGCAGAAGGCTGCAAGAGCCGTGGCGGGGTTGGTCTCATGGTTTGTGAGCATGTGTAGCTGGTGTGGGGTTCGAGGATCTGGAAGGGTAGATGAAGAGTAAACGTGTGTCGATAGGCGAGGAAAGATGAATGGCACTACTAATTTGATTCTGATGATGATGATGATGATGATGAAGATGCTGCTTGAAGCTCTGACGAAGTGACGAGTGACAAAGTGACACTCGAAGCTCGAAATGCTAGGGACCCCACCTCGCCCTGCCCCACCCTCCTGATTGGCTGTCGCGTCGCCGTCAACTGTCAACCATCGACGCGCTCTCATGCCAGGAACAGGGAAAGGGAACAGGAACCTCTGGACAGCATCGCAAGCACTTCTAGACCTTCCATCCCCCAACGGCATGACGGTCTGTTTTTCTTTTTCGCTCACGATACTCACGACACCCACTGCTTTGCACGCCCTCATTTACGTTGCTTCAGCGCATGCTTGCCGTCGTCTTCTGGCGCGAGGTTCCACATTTTGACGACGGGCGACACCGCCTAGCTACGACGTCTGCATGACTGCGCTTCATCGGAATAGTCCCCAGTCCCCATCGACGGTGCGGTGAGTGTGCATGCCTTTTCCCTTCTCATTCCATGTCTTGGAGGCGGGCTGTAGTCTGAGGGTGGACTGGACTGCACAGCTTGACGGCCAATATCACGTCGCTTGCGAATGAGAAACCCAGGACCCCATGAAGCTGTTCACATCTTGTCCTGTTGCTGCATTCTTCATCGCCTACCTTCCTACCTTTCAGACATGTCGTTTTCATATGACATGAAGCATGACAAGCCCATGACAAGCCCATGACAAGCCCATGACAAGCCCATGACAAGCCCATGACAAGCCCATGACAAGCCCATGACAAGCCCATGACAAGCCACTGACATGCCTCCAGCTCAACCCTCATCTTGATCCCGGCTTCATCCCAACCCTCGCGCCGGACTCCTCCAGCGAGGCACCAGCCTTGGCCTTGTCTACCCCCCACACTTCATCACCATGCCTCCCTCGGCAGTCAATTTCGACATCCACCAGGGCCGCCAGGACTTCCAGCGCCTCGACCCAGACTGGCGCGCCAACATCCACGAGTCGTTCAACCTCATCGACACGCAAGACACAGGCTCCCTCTCCGCCCGCGAGTGGCCCATCGCCCTCAACGCCCTCGGCCTCCAGCTGCCGCGCTCCGAGACGTACACGCTCCTCTGCGCCCACGGCTCGCCGCCCCAGGACTTTGACCCCCACGCGTCGGCCTCGGGCGGCGGCGGCGGCAACGCCTGTCCGCCGGTGCGGCTGCGCATCACGAGAGACACCTTTGAGGCCATTGCCGCCTGGCTCATCACGAGGCGGGACCCGGACGAGGAGGCCGAGGCGGCGTGGCGGCTCTTTGACCCGCGCGACACGGGCCGCATCACGGTCGAGTCGCTGAGGACGGTCTGCGCCGAGGTCAACAATATGATGACGGACCAGGATCTGCGCAAGATGATTGACACGCTCGACATTAGCGGCAAGGGGTGGGTGTCCAAGGACGAGTTTATGGAGATGGCGCGGGGGGCCACCAAGGACCGCTCGCACTAGGGCATTCTGCAAATTTGCCAAATCTATGGATTCTTTTTTCAGTCTGCCACTACTTTTGTTCCCGCTACTCAGTTGTTGCTGTGCGGCCCCTGCTCGTTTCTTTCGCTGTGCCATGCTTACTTGTTCCCTCGATCAAACTACGCGCACCATGTGGATGGAAAGTTTTCGAGCCGGCCGCCGTCAATCTTGATGACGGCACCGTTGCAGTAGGCGCCGGCGCGCGATGCCAGGAACAGCAGCACGCCGGCCATGTCCTGCTCGTCGCCCATGCGCTGCATGGGGATCATGGCCTTGGGCATGTCTCTGGGCCGTCGCCGGTGTACAGCTTGACGATGGGGCGCGGGCATTT